TACAGAAGCTTTTCAGTTTAATTAAATCTCATTTGCTTATTTTTGTTGTTGTTGCAATTGCCATGGCAGTCCTCTTCATAAAGCCTTTCCCGCTTCTCTTCTCCTCTCCTCCACTCTCTCTCCTCTTCTCTTCTTCCTCTTCTTTTTCTCTTCTTATCTCTCCTCTTTTCTCTCCCCTTTTCTCTTCTCTCCTCCCTCCTCCTTGGTGCTGCTCTACAGCATCCCTCCCTTGCCAATAAAGACCTTTCATACCAAAAAAAAAAAAAAGCCTTTCCCTAGGCCGATATCTTCCAGTGTTTTTCCTATCTTTGAGGGTTTTTATTATTTTGTGCCTTAAATTTAAGCCCTTTATCCATCTTAAATCAATTTTTGTGAGTGGAGAAAGGTGCGGGTCCAGTTTCAGTCTTTTACATGTGGATATTCAGTTCTCCCAGCACCATTTATTGAGTAGGGAGTCTTTCCCCCAGTGGACGTTCTTGTCTGGTTTATCAAAGATTAGGTGGTTGTAAGTTGTTGGTTTCATTTCCTGGTTTTCTATTCGATTCCGAATGTCTATGTCTCTATTTTTGTGCCAGTATGATGCTGTCTTGACCACTATGGCCTTGTAGTATAGACTAAAATCTGGTATGGTGATGCCCCTGGCTTTGTTTTTATTACTAAGAACTGCCTTAGCTATACGGGTTTTTTTCTGGTTCCATACAAAATGCAGGGTCATTTTTACCAAGTCTTGAAAATAGGATGTTGGTATTTTAATAGGGATGGCGTTGAATCAGTAGATTGCTCTGGGAAGTATAGACATTTTAACAATGTTGATTCTTCCCAGCCACGAGCATGGTATGTTCTTCCATTTGTTAAAGTCTTCTGCTATTTCCTTTCTTAGGATTTCATAATTTTCTTTATAGAGGCCCTTCACCTCTTTTCTTAGGTATATTCCTAGGTATTTCATTTTGTTTGGGGCTATGGTGAAGGGAGTTATGTCCTTAATTAGCCTCTCATCTTGACTGTTATTGGCGTATACAGAGGCATCTGACTTGTGGACACTGATTTTATATCCTGAGACATTACTATATTTTTTGATGACTTCCAAGAGTCTTGTGGTTGAGTCTTTGGGGTTGTCTAAGTATAAAATCATATCATCAGCAAAGAGGGATAGTCTGACCTCCTCTGCTCCCATTTGGATGCCCTTTATTTTCTCGTCTTACCTAATTGTATTGGCTAGAACTTCCAGCACTATGTTGAATAGTAATGGTAACAGAGGACAACCTGGTTGTCCAGGACAGCCTGGTTCCTGGAACCAGAGGACAGCCTGGTTCCAGTTCTGAGTGGAAAAGTTTTCAGTTTAACTCCATTCAGTAAAATATTAGCTGAGGGTTTGTCATAGATAGCTTCAATCAGTTTAAGAAATGTGCCACCTATGCCTAAACTCTTCAGTGTTCTAATCAGAAAAGGATACTGGATTTTATCAAATGCTTTTTCTGCATCTATTGAGAGGATCACATAGGCTTTGTTTTTACTTCTGTTGATATGGTGAATAACATTTATGGATTTACGTATATTAAACCAGCCTTGCATCCCTGTGATGAAACCTATTTGATCATGAGATACGACTATTTGATGATAAGCTGTAATCTATTGACTAGGATTTTGTTGAGAATTTTTGCATCTATATTCTCCTAAAAAGGAGAACTTTAGACCAATTTCACTAATGAATCTAGATGCTGTAGAATTTTGTCTTCAACAGAATTCTCCATTTTTGGAACTTTCCTCCATAAAAATAATGATATCAACAGTGATAAATAGATCATGGTCATAGTACATACCCTTAATGTGATGGATGAGAATGGTACCTGGGTACTTTACTTTTGTTGTCTTCCTTTCCAAAACCCATAACCCTAGTCTAATCATGGGAAAAATATCAGAAAAATTCCAGTAAAGGGGGAATCCTATAAAATACTTGCTCAGTATTCCATAAAACTTTCCAAAGTCATCAAAAACAAGAACATTGTAAGAAACTATCAAATGACAATAAATGTAAACATGCTAACCTAGATAGGATTCTAGAACAGAAGATACTAAGTAAAATCTAAACATGAAAAGCACTACTTCTGGAGTTCCAAATCACAGCACACCTCTGGAGCTTCTTCTTACTTATGTCTCATGATACACACTCTAAAAGTTTTTTATTTGTTTGTTTGATTATTAAAGAGACCGGGTCTTTGTACAGTGGTGTGATCATGACTTATCACAGCCTCCAACGTCTGGACTCAAGTAGCCTCCTAAGTAGCTGGGACTTACATGCCTACCCCACCATGCCACTTCTTTTTTCTTTGTTTTTTCCTTTCTTTTTTTTTTTTTCTTTATTTTTAGAGATAGAGTCTCACTTTATTGCCCTTGGTAGAGTGCCATGGCATTACACAGCTCACAGCAACCTCCAACTCCTGGGCTTATGCAATTCTCTTGTCTCAGCCTCCTGAGTAGCTGGGACTACAGGACTACCCACCACAATGCCCGGCTATTTTTTTGTTGCAGTTCAGCGAGGGGCCAGGTTTGAACACGCCACCCTCAGTATTTGGAGTGGGCACCCTACGCACTGAGCCACAGGCACCACCCTGTTTTTTTCCTTTCTTTCTTTTTCTTTCTTTATTGATAGAATCTTGCTTTGTCACCTGGGATAGAGTACAGTGGCATCATCAAAGCTCACTACAACCTCCAACTCCTGGGCTCAAGCAACCCTCCTGGCTCAGCCTCCGTCTGGAGTACCTGAGACTACAGACCACACTTTCTATTTTTTTTTTTTTTTTGTAGAGACAGAGTTTCACTTTATTGCCCTCAGTAGAGTGCCATGGCATCACACAGCTCACAGCAACCTCCAACTCCTGGGCTTAGGTGATTCTCCTGCCTCAGCTTCCCAAGTAGCTGGGACTACAGGCACCCCCTACAACACCCAGCCATTTTTTTTGTTGCAGTTTGACCAGGGCAGGTTTGAACCCACCACCTTCAGTATATGGAGCCAGTGCTCTGCCCACTGAGCCACAGGCATTGCCCCATCAAACTTTTTTTTTTTTTTTTTTTTGCAATTTTTAGCCAGGCCCAGGTTTGAGCCCACCACCTCTGGTATATGGGGCCAGCACCCTACTTCTTTCAGCCACAGGCACTGCCCACACATTTTCTATTTTTAACAGCGACAGTCTTGCTCTTGTTTAGACTGCTTGTCAACTCCTGACCTCAAGCTATCCTCCCACCTTAGCCTCCCAGAGAGCTAGGATTACAGGTGTAAGCCACTTCATCTGGCTGAACATTTTTATTACATAGATAAACTTAGCAAGATTCTTATATTATGAATGAGGAAACTCAGACACTGTTACCTATATAAGGTCACACAGAAGGCTAAAACTAGAATTCAGGTCTCCTAATTCCCAAGTCCAGTGTTCTTTATACCAATTATCTTTTCTTCTCTCATAGCAACTCATTTTCTCATTACATCTGAGACGCAAGTCAAGCTAATATTCTACCCAAGTATAATTATCTTGGGTGGCAAATTTCACTTACTTTTACTCCAAAAAGCAGAAAAGAGGGGAAAGTAATTACTTGAAAGTTAGGCCAAGTGGGATGAACCTAACACTCTATGGACTGATTAGGTAGAACAGACAGACAGACAAGAAACTTTGGGATTCTGAGACCAGTAAAATACCAACCAACAACAAAAGGAAAAAAATCTAGGGGGGCCAGGCGTGGTGGCTCACACCTAGCACTTTGGAAGGCCACGGTGGGTAAAATGCTTGAGCTCGCGAGTTCAAGACCATCCTGAGCAAAAGCGAGACCCCATCTCTACTAAAAATAGAAAAACAGAGGCAAGAAGATCGCTTAAGCCCAAGAGTTTGAGGTTGCTGTGAACTATGATGCCACAGCACTCTACCTAGGGTGACAGCTTCTGACTCTGTCTCAAAAAGAAAAAAGAAAAGAAAAGAAAAGAAGGCTCGGCACCTGTGGCTCAAGCGGCTAAGGCGCCAGCCACATACACC